ATTGTTTGGTCTTGCGATAGCACTTTGTCCAACACCGTTTTCATTATGACTGGCGTAACGTTTAGTCCAAATCCCAAACGTGTTAAACAAAATCTTTGTCGACGGAACACAACAGTTTTTGTAAGCCCAAAGTTTCTCATCTATTTTTAGTTACATGTAAGCTGAAGATAAAACAATTATTGAAACATTTTCTCCAAACCGTCTCCAGTCTCGAAGTTTGTCAGCACACGCATCTGTGTTCGCAGTGAATGCTTCAATAAACGTGTTCAGCTCCCTGAAGTCCAATACTGGTCGTACTTTTCCTTTATTTCGTTGCACGATTGCCATGAAAGGAACCAAACCTTTTATTGGACTGTGTTTCTTCAAATCGTACATTTTTTCTCTATCCGCCCTTCAATTTCTTTTTCGTAATCGTGTTTTATGCCAACAGGGGTTATGTATTCAGCGATCTTATTCACTAAAGCTTCAGGTTGAGAATTATTATTCCATTTCCACGCAATCATCCATTATCTTGATTTCGTTTCTCAAACGAAGCTGTGAAATCTCGAGCTGTTATATTCAAATTACTGATATCTTTTGGCAAATCACTTCTTAGTCCAAGTAAACATGATTCAATTTTTCCCATAAAACAAACATCGCGAGTTTCAGATATTGATACTCCACAAAAAGCCACTATTCCATCCAAACCCATCGAAAAATAATAACCAAGTGGTTTGAAGTCAACTACAAGTGCTTCCACAAAAACTTCATTTCCATTTGGTATGACGATTCGACTTCGGCTAACACCTTCGTACTGTTGTTGTTGTCCATTTACAGTTACATACTAACTACTTTCTTCGTAACTTTTGGCGCACTTTGTTTATAAATGATACAGCAGGGACATCCAAATCAACACAGCCCGAAGAACGCCGTTAATGTCCAAGCGTATAGTAGGTAACGCCATTGTTGATTGTTTAGGGAGAGAGCTGACGCAAACATCTTCTCCCTCGGCACGATTTTTAGACACATTCTTGATATGTGTCCTTTCTTTGATACGAGTAACACAAAACATTGCTTTTCTCCCGTCTTCGACTTAACTTGCTTTGATTGCTATGCCTTCGTAGATGACAATCTTTTGCAAAATGATTGGGAAGCTTACACTCATAACAAACTTGTTGTGTTTGATCTTCAAGCGAACTCGACTCATCACATCTTTCTGTTGCAGCAGCAAAATTTTCATTCGTTTTATTGTTCCGTTCTTCAATCATGAGTGCTCTTGCTCGCGCAAGTATTTGTATAGTAGTAGATCATCCATACGAGAACTTGATCTCAGCATCCGTCAAACTTCCTCAGGAAGCCCATAAACGAAGGCACATGTAATAGCTCTGACTGGTAGCCCGCTAATCAGCGTAGATAATCTCCGCAGTTCCGCCAAATAAACATCAGCTGCCTCTCCATGCTTTTACTTTCTTGTAACGAGCTGTTCGTAAGCTGTAAATGCATCAACGGCAAAAGGTTTTAGCAACGCCTCTTTTATCCGGTCAAAATCTTCTTTATCACTCTCTGCTAACTGTTGATATACTGCAAATGCACCATTTGTGAGACGGAGAGGAACAACACTCGCCAGATCAGTTACACCAATTAGTTTGCATACTAGTTAAACTTTTTCCAGTCATTATGCACTGATTGTTGATTGTTTCCACTAATCTCCGGAATAAACTTTAAATCAACTTTAGTTGACATTTTCGCCGAAATAGCATGTAGCTTCACATCAAAATTGACTTTGTAAGTTAAGCGTTAAAACGCTTCATATTTTCTAATGCAACTCAACATAATTTATATACAATCATACTCTCTTGGTATTTACAACTATGACTTAATATTATATCCAACTATTTACAATTAAGGCAAATCGATCGTTTACAATCATAAAATATAATTACACTTTACAATTCTCTCAACATTAAAAAATGGAGATAGAACCCTATTATTATTCTAACGTCACGATTAGTTATCAGTGAAACATGGCTTGACTAAACTATTCCTGATGGTTTAGTCGGATTGAGTGGCTACTCTCTGCTATAAAAAGATAAAAATAAACACAGTGGTGAACTGATAACCTTTTTCCGTTCTATCTTTGAATTTTATTAATTAGAAACTTCCTAATTTATTAGAAGCAGATATTCTTTCAGTTAGATTTCCAGCCTTAAACCGTTGCCGTTTATTATCCATATTTGGGAATTAACTCTATTCATCTAAAAACTTTAAAGTTGTTACAAGCTCAATCAAAACTTTGATAAATTTGAGATACTTATACATTATGGGGACATTAATGATCTCCAAAAGTATTGTAACGATTTTCTTATTTCAAATTTGTTTACTCATCTTTTACCCTTTACGACATGTGAGTGTAACACTCTCGATATTATTGCCACTAATGTACCCGAACTTTATAACATAGCAAAAAGCTCAGCCCACTGGGGCCGCTCTGATCACAGTACAATTTTTAAAATACTATATT